GATGGTTCAGGCAGATTTATGAAAATAGCCCATGCAATGTTTTCGCTCTGACGAGAAGGGCTCCTTTTTAAAGCCAAAATTTTACATGGACTGTCCTAATAAATCTGCCTTAGCTGTCTTCAAATGCCTGATCCAATTTCTTTATTGATCCATATCACAATGAGTGTCACTGAACAGGTTTCTGTTTGTGACTGTTGCTGAATGGGTACGCCTGCGCTCGTCACATCAAATCATAGGTAGTTCCCTAGTGAATTGAAAACCAAATAACAAAATTTAGGCAAAGTAGTGCTAATTTGGAAACATTCCCTGAATGCACGAAAGTCACACCGTGACTATTTTATACTAAAGATTGCCATTAATTTTTCATGCCCCTTCCCATCCGTTCCCCCTCTGCATTTTACCGTACTTATCTTTTTTCCCTACTCTAATTGCATGCTTTCTAACATTTTGATTTTAGTAAAGATTTAAAGGTTAAAAACCTGCAATTTTATATATATAGATATATATATTAACCCTTTGCACACCAGGTAATTGAGGACTGGGTAATTGTGCTCATCCTGCTGGAACTCATTAGGTTTGGCCGTGAGCGATCTGCTATAGAGGATGCAGAGTTCTGATGTGTGTGATCTAACACGGATCATTGTGAACGACTCGGGTGCTCTGCTCTGCTATTCTCTATGAAAGGGTGCCAGGTCTTTCTGCGCTGAGCCTTGTTTAATGCTCTATGTCAGTATTTGTAGGCAGCGGATTGTCACACAGGAGGGGAGGGTGCAAAGCTGGCCACAAAGGAGGGTCTGTACTTCCCTCTCTGAGTGAGTGATCCACCACACAGCAAGATGACATGCGAGGGGCAGGCACTTTGCATAACCACTGGAGGAGAAGCACTTCTCCTGTGTTCACCACGTTTGTACAGAGCAGTTCAGATACGCCCTTACACACCCTGGCCTGTCCCAGCCCACACTGAATGTGAATGCTTTCCATTTACACAGTACGAGCTGCAAATAGTGCACATCCATTCTCTGTTCTTGATAGTAACCGTTCAAACGAGTTATTATTAAACAGACCTTTCTGCAGTGTTGGCGTTCAGGCATGAGGGGTTGGGGGGAGGCAGGGCATTAGAATATTATTGTAATTGTTTGAGGTGCAAGTGTACTATCATATTTTTGTTCCTAATTTGTTGGTTCAGTAACGAGAAATGAGCTGCAAGAGAAATGCAGATGACGCATTCTCGCTCACGTCGTGGTCCCATTTTTAGTTTCAGTTTGGTGACATGTATGATGTCATTAAGCATTTATACATTCATATCAATGTCCAGAAAGAGCCTGTCCGTAACGGATACAGTTTATTAGCTTATAACCAAAGGGACTTTGCCTTAAAGGGCCATTGTAGGGTGGGTGGATTTGACCCCCACCCTTTTTCTTAATATACAAATGTGAATTGTTGGAAATGAAAAGTACATTTCATATTGTAAACCACAATCTCCTAATTTGAAAAAAATATTCCATGCTGGCTATAATTAATAATATTAAAAGAAGAAACTGCTCAGCTGTGCTCGGTCACTTTTTACCTAAGTAAATTAGGCAGCTTAAAGCAACACTGTCACTTTACATTTTTTCTTTTACACATAATTGTGGCACTAACAAGTTATCTAATGCCAGTTTTGCCTCTAAATGAGGTTGCAATGAAAATGATGGCCGTACAGCTGTCTTGCTGTACATTGTGTACTCAGCCAGTGCTCAGACAACAGTCTGCACAAAACCACATCGTTCTACAAAGAAGCAAAAGGTAAAATTAAGGTTAATTTTATTTAAAGGCTATATGTTTGGTTTTCTACGTCTAACCATGTTACTGCACACCTGTAGTTTTGTTTGTTGACGCTGTGGTATGTGTCCGTTCACTAGAAATGTATAATGATGACAATAAATGGCAGACTGTGTGGACAGATGAGATAAAAGAGAAAATGTCGTATTCAGTGTCAAACGGGTCATAAAAAAAACCAAAAAACTGATTTCAACCAAGAATCAATTGGCTTGTGTAGCCTGCTCGTTCACATCCAAATAATACAGCCTTTATTTTCAATGTTGTTTCCTGCTCCAGACACCTGCTCTGTTTATGCACTATATAAATCCATAGATCGTGCACGATAGTACGATCTCTGATTGAAAAGGAGCATTATTTCTGGTTGTAGCCATTATCATTCTCTGCAAAGTTTGTTTTTTATGCTCTTTTAAATCCACTCATATATTTAAAGGACCTGTACATTAAAATTTAATTTTAGAGTTTTAAACGGCAAACCACTTTCTGCACTGCACAGGGATTTTGAATTTAGGGATGGCATAGGTACAAATGATATCCCATTACTACCCCATGAAGTTTGGCATCAAGGCTGAACACATAGGGGGAAACTACTATGTAACATTATGCTAAACCGTGCTAGATTCTACATCATAGAAAGAGGCAGTCAGGTACCATTTGGTATACCAAGTGGAATATAATACAAAGAAAAACATGGACTTTGATCAAAATTATGTTTTGATTCTTGCAAATTCCATTTTAAAAAAAATTTTTTTACAGTGTTGGCATTGATTAATATACAGAATTCAAGCAGGTATATATATTTCACTTGCATTATGAGAAGCCTTTAGAGACAACAAGAGAGGGCAACATCAAATCTGTCAACAGGGTCTGGACAACCACTTACTGTTTGGAGTCTTTATCTCTCAAGTGGGGATGGGCAATCACTTACGGTCTTATAAACTTTTTAGCATGCACAACTGTCTGGAACCAAACTATCCCAAGTGAAGTGTTTCTAGAAATGCTGTATAACTGGATAAGCGGTATAACTATACATTTTTCAGTACCCTTTTATTAGTAGACATTTTCATACTTGTAAACTCCTAGGTTAAGCAATAACATGGTAATTGTTCATAATGCACGAGTGCTATCGTGGAGATATATAAACTCCCTATGTAAGACTAGGAGCTAGCCTATTTTAGTTAAAGATTAAGGCTACGTTCATAGACCTTCATAAGTAACAGCTGCACAGTAGGTTAAATGCCAGCATTTAAATATCCTTAGCTGTGCCTACCTGACTCTTGCATTTGCCTTGTCCTACCTGCATAGCGTATTCACGTAGAATGACTAGGGGTTTAGATACATTGGCTGAACGTCGTTCCATTCATCCTTGCTTTACAAAACCTGCTTGGAGTAGAAATGATGTATGCAGATGATACATCTTGCTTGCTTGCATGCATAATAATTTGATGGTTATGAAATTTTTACACAGTCCCTCCCAAGGCTGCTGATCCTGACTATTCTACATATGTATTATGTCGCTAGGGTAATAAAGTAAGGGACACAGGCCTGAATTTGCAGTCTGAAAAGCGTCAATACCAGATCACGTGTCATCCAAATACAGACTTTTTTTTTTCTGCTTTAGTTTCTTAAGTATACCTCTGCCATCTATAATCGATGATGAAAACGTGGCCATGCATAATGCAGTAGTGGTACCACCTTGTATGTCAGATACACAAATAATTTGGTGACAATTCTTTAGAGTGGTTATTCAAGGTACTAACTTTACAGTGACCTAACCTTTACATCGATTTTAATATTGATTAACTTTTAACTTATGTATCAGGGCACCAACCCACATCTTTTCCTTTCCAACAGCCTCTATCTCCATTTTATTATTGTTATTCTGATTTATATAAAAACAAAAAAAGAAAAACATTTAACCACCAATGGTAACCACCAGTCAGTTACTTCAATTGTTAGATAAACAAATGTAAAAAAAAAACTTCCTCAAATATGTCACAATATTTATAAAAACAGGTTTTTGGTAATCATAACCAGCCACTGACAAGGATCTTACCCCAAGAATTACATTGTGACAAATGTACAAAGAAATAAGGGCACACCGCCTGCCTAGAGTCCCTAAAATGGCTACAAATATGCTCCCACCTCAACTCCATTTACCTTCTCCTGATCTGGTTTCTACCCTGACCACTTTTTGTCGTTTGTGTCGGTTTTCTTCCTCTTTTAAAAAGCTGTCTCAGGAAGGAGGAGTATAGAAATCTAGCAATTGTGATATGAGCTCTGAAAAAAAATGTTATAGGGCCTAGATGTCCCAACCTATATGCGCAGAGCTGATTTTTATTTTGCAAACTCATATTGCTTAAAGTGTTACTCCAACCCTTTGCCTCAGTTTGGTTTTTAAAGGTTAGAATGCCCTATTGGGCTTTGCTAATAGGTCCTCCCCTTTGAAAATGTAAAAAAGTTAAGGCTTAACTGAACCCCTTTTGCTGGCTCAGAGCTTACTCACACTCTGAGCCAGCAAAGGCAGTGAGTAGAGAGGGATTTTGGAAAGAATGGTGGGAATTTTAATTAAAAACAAAACAATGGGAAAGATTTTCACGTCTGTTGCTAGCACGCTGGCAATAATAGCAGATTCAGTCTAATCTTGCATGTTTAAATTGTACCCAGCGACTTACCTGAATCCAGCCCTAACTGCTGTTCAACACTAGGGTCGGCGAATTGACGGGAGCTCATCTACTACGCAACCCAAACCATGCGGCCTGGAGCGCACAGGGTGGGGGAGGCGGCCGCTCTCCCAGACTGAAATTGCCCAAGAACATTGAGCACTGAGCAGATGGCCCGTTACCCTCCCCCCCCCCTCCCCTTTGGACCGGCGGGGGACATCCCGCTCCACCCCTGGGAGGCCATCCTGACATAAGGAGAGTGAAGGGTAAAGCCACTGAAGCTGCAGGAAAATCTAATGTTCCATCCAACATAGCGGATAACATGTGGCACCCCCAACAATATTAAGGAAAAGAATGATATCGGGTCCAGGCTTGACATAATTTTTGACACTTTCTGGAGGAAACTAGAGCATAGGATGCATCAAGCTGTCCCAGTGCAGCCAAGTAACCACTCACCCCAACAGCTGACTCTCCCACAGCAGCAGATGCCTGTGGCGCCGCAAAAACAAGGGCCCCAATATGGCGACGGAGCATGAAGCACACAACACTCCAACACAAGGTGACACAAAAAGGGGAGCCATCACGAGCCAATGCTGGGACTCCTCAAGCCTCAAAGGTATGATAGTTGCCGTCACAACTGAACCCAATGGAGATCCAGAGGGTCTGCAGGAGCTCCTGACCCAGTCCTTGGCGTGTACCGGCCTGCTAGTATCGGGGCTCTGGGACATGACATGTACCTCCTTGCTGCAGGTCTGTGCTCTGCCCATGGAGGGCATAGGATGAACTTTGCTCAGTGACTGGGCACTGGACGGCTTATGGCTACTCACCTTTTGCCTTTTATCAATACTCAGTAAGGGACTTAACTGTCCTATAATCTAACGCTACATGCCTTTCCCACGCTACTCCTTTCCGCTTCTGTCTTGCATCTCTTTTCATCCCACTAACTTGGGAGCTTTCTAGGGGGGTAAATCTTAGAAGATACTTGTTGTTGTTAATCCTTTTATTACTAACCACCGTATTGAGACCACTCTTATGCACATAGCCCGTTTACTTAATGCTATAACGACTTATCTACACTGTGTTCATCAAATATTCTCTCCTTTGTTCTCAAAATTGTGCAATTATTTCAAATGCCTTGCAACTAAATTGTCCTGTATAATGCTGATCCTGTACTTGCTGTTGGGGCATTGCAGGAACTTCTGTTAATCTCATGCACAACAACAAAAATAAAGAATTAAAAAAAAAAGAATGTAAAATATGCACAGAATAGACATTAGGCAGGCAATCCGTGCTGCCAAAGTCACGTGTATTGGGGTGTAATTAGCCCCTAACACACAAATACAAATATTTCTGAACGTGCAATGTTTCAAGCAGAAAGACTGCACATACAGACTTCTACCACCATGGCCACTTCAAATCACTGAAGGTGTCGTGGAGTAAACTTGAGAAAGGGCATTTTCATTTCAAAAGAGGTTTAGAGATGAGCTGCCAAATTCCCTTCCAATTTAGTTCAAAAGACACTTACGAGTCTTTCGAAATGCTTAACTTAGCAAGGAATCCCATCAGAAACTTGGGTCAGGATTTTCAAAGGATGTTCTCCTGGGATTTGGTGTATTTTGAAATCCATGGGGATGCAAATCTGGGAAAATTGGTGGTTAGTTAAAAATTATTTAGTTGTGCACTTCTCATATGGCTGTGTTGCTCAGCTTTTACTTACATGACTTATGGTATATTGCAGGGTTCAAACTTTCCATTGGCGAGTGAAAATTCAGTCCTGGCGAGTAAAAATTAACCCCTTGTGAGTAATGAGCAAGCAAACTTTTTGGTCTATATAGCAGGAAACGACCATCATTAGGAGTAGAGGAAAGGCAAGTTCTTGCCTTGTCACGTTTATGAATGAAAACAATCACTTTTATTATAGCTTTTTTTAAAACTAAGACTCCGGGAGAGGCAGTATTCATGAGCGAGGGCGCTGATTTCTTAATGGTTTGTATTAATTTTAATTAAAATTGTAACACGAGGGAGTGTCTGCCCATCTGTGCTCATGCTATTGTAGATTTCCCAGCTGGGCCGCTCTACAGGATGGCAGGAATGGGTCTAAAATTTAGACACTTCTATTGTATCTGGGACATTTTTAAAACATTTAGCATATGAGCTTAGGTGAAGATTCTGAACACAAAGCATAACTGTAACAACTGTTATGACTAATTTATGTCATTTATTTGTATACAGGTGAAGCTGGTGGAATCACTAAATTTCCTGTATTGCTACCTGTAGTTTATCTGACAACCTCTCAACGCATCTTGAAAACTTTGTTGTTGAGTGTTGCATTAAAACTATTATCCGCTCGGGTATAATTAAAGGAACACTCCAACATTAAAATTGATTATTTGATTTTAATGATTGGCATATTCCCTTAATCCTATCTTTAACAGATTTACCCGCCCCTGCATTGATAGGATCTTGCCGCTGCATTGCTCCTCACCGGGGGGGGGGGCGTGCTGTCGGTGATGATAGTCTTCCCTTCTTGTCCTGTTGGCATTTCTGCAAAATTTGTGAAATTGGCACTTTTAGGAATTGGGGCAAGAGGGACTTGCAGCTAACCCCTAAAGCATATCCACAAGTTTAAGTGAGTTAGTGGTATGGAGTATTCATTGAATATGGCATGCTTACACCATGGCAATTAAAGGGTGAACAGACGACCACTATATATTTCTAAGAGCATTTTTTTTTTTTCTTGTGCACAGATTTGGGATGTGGGGGAACATTATTTTTTCCTACCTGTGTGCCCTCTTTGTTTGCCAGGGATGGTCCGTCTCCACTGTGTCTACTGTCTTGGTATAGAACAGTGGACACTCATTTAAATTATTAGGTGCAATTTTGAAACCAGTAAGTACACAAAGGCTTATTTTTTTATGTAAGAAGCACAAAACTGATACCCCTGAAAAGTTCAAGTCTGTGTGCTGTGATTTTACACCATTCTTCAAATGAAAGAATTAATTTCCTTGAAAGACTGAAAGTGGTGAAAACCTGCAAGATACTGTATGCTCAAGAAGAACATTCAATAAACATTCCGTACTTTTTAGACCTAGTGATTAGTAACTGCGCCATTTTTGACACTGATCATGATCCATTCAGTAATTTTATCGCCTTTGTGCCGAATGTTTTTGATATACTTCGAGCGGCCCTGTTACCGTCTGGCGACTTTGCAGAAGAACCCCAACAGTGACATTGCTGCTTTGGGACTGGTAGCCGGTGCGGGGCAGAGAAAGGTGAGTTACACTTACCTAAACCTTTCCCTCACGGGCACCCGCCATCTTCCAGGGGGGCCTCTTCAGCCAGGAGCTGATGTCACTGATGTCACATCTCAGGTGTATGAAAAATACATAAGACAAAGTAGCAATGGCAGATCCGGGGTGGTGCACACACTGCTCCAAATATACACATTGCTGCCCTATACATACACTACACCCCTCTCACACATAGACACTACTGCCCCTATCCCGGAGACAACAGGTAAGTTATCAAACTGTTTTTTAAACGGTTTGACTACATACTCTGGGAGGGCGCCACAGCACTCCTGGCACCAAAACCACTACAGAAAGTGTAGTGGTTATTGTGTCTGGATTGTTTCTTTAAATGATCTGCCAGTGCCCCTCCCGAGATTAGGTTCTGGATCAGCCCCTGCAAAGTAGTGCCCAGTTTACCTTATGTTTTTAGTTAGAAATAGATGAAAAAGGAAAGACAGAGAGTAGGAAAGAGGAAGTGATTGAGAAAAGGTTAGTACAGCGTGACAGTGCCACTTAAAGAACAAGATGGGTGGCAGTTTTAACTTTTTGTTTAAAATTCTCAATCCGACTTTAGGTTTAGATTTCAGGTTTTCCTAAAATGCAGATTCAAGATGGCAAAGAAATACAATGCCATATGAGCAAATGGTGAACTGTTACACCTACCTTAATATGTTTCCTGGAACAAAAATGTACCCTTTTTTATTTTGGCGCAGCAGCCTATCATTTTCTTGCCTTGCTCTGACATGAATTGTGATTCAGCTGGCCTCTTCTCTCACAGAAGCACTTTGATACAGGATCCCCAAGGTGTTTCTTTTTTTAGAGTCTATTACTTGGTAGGTTCTGGTTTGAGTGATTGGCAGCTGATTGAGACGTGAATCTGTCACTGTCACCTGGCACTGGAGAGTTTTCTTCCTCTTTGTCCGTGTTTTCGTTTTGTATTGATTTAAGCTGCCGAATGAGACGGCTCCATAGAGTAACGCTGACGTTACCTCCATCTTGATTTGAAAAAATGTGTCCTACCGGTAAAGCCTCCAGTTATGTCAGTGGTCCACCTGTCATACACTTACTTATTTATAAAATATTTTACCAGGATGGATACATTAAAGGACCACTATAGTGCCAGGAAAACATACTCGTTTTCCTGGCACTATAGTGCCCTGAGGGTGCCCCCACCCTCAGGGACCCCCTCCCGCCCGGCTCTGGAAGGGGAAAAGGGGTTAAAACTTACCTTTTTCCAGCGCTGGGCGGAGAGCTCTCCTCCTCCGATCCTCCTCTTCCCTCCCCGTCGGCTGAATGCGCACGCGCGGCAAGAGCTGCGCGCGCATTCAGCCGGTCACATAGGAAAGCATTCATAATGCTTTCCTATGGACGCTGGCGTGCTCTCACTGTGAAAATCACAGTGAGAAGCACGCAAGCGCCTCTAGTGGCTGTCAATGAGACAGCCACTAGAGGATTAGGGGGAAGGCTTAACCCATTCATAATTATAGCAGTTTCTCTGAAACTGCTATAATTATGAAAAAATGGGTTAACCCTAGAAGGACCTGGCACCCAGACCACTTCATTAAGCTGAAGTGGTCTGGGTGCCTAGAGTGGTCCTTTAAGATTTCTCTCGTTTTCAAGTATGTCCTGGGTCCACAAAACATTACATTGTTACAATAGGATACAATATTACAAAAATACAATATACAAACAATATATATATACATACACACACGTATAAATTTAATACATAACAGGTAATAAATATATTCAACCCTGACAGGTGCATTCTGAGCTGAGGTATATTGCCATAGATCTCTTAAAAGATTTTAGATTGAATGAAGATTTGACTGTGTCCCTGAGGTTATTCCATAATTGCGGTGCTCGGTAGGAAAAGGAGGATAGAGCCACGTTATTTTTGTATTGCAGTATTCTAAATATTGTGCTAGTACTGGATTGGAGGTCATAGGAGGTGGGAACAGCTGGGGAGAGCATCTACTCAGGTAGGGTGGAAGCTTTCCAGAAATGCTCTTATGCACATGGCTGGAAAGATGAAGTGTGCGTTGGGATTCCAGCGACAGCCAGTTTAGCTCTTTTAACATGTCACAATGATGGGTAAAGTTCTAGTACAAAGCGGCAAAAATAACTATTTTTTTTTTATTTTTTTGTCTGTAAATTAGGTCTAGGTTAAGAGCAAGAATGTGTTAGCCTTAAGGCCATACCAGGACATACATGTCCCAACCTTCTTTAGAATGGAGGAAGTTAAACTCCTGGGTAGCAGCTGTTATTTACAACTGTTGCTTTCAATTTAGCCCCTCTCCCATTTTTGACCTGCAGGGAGAGTAGCTGGGATACAAGCTCAAATATTCCTCATGTTAAGTGAAGATGGGCAGTACAGTAATGGTGGCAGCTGCAAATAGCCGCTTCTTTTTGGGCTATCTCCTTGCAACCTAGGCAGACTTGGTACTGTTCTGAGATAAGGGGTCTTATATTGCACCGTGCCATCAATGCTTT